ACTGTTCATTTCTTTACTACCTTTTCTGAAGCAATACACTGCGGCTTTCTAAGACAAAAACCATAAAACTTGGTTGAAATTGCCCTGGGAAGAGAGTGGATATCTAAATGTAAAAAAAAATTGTTTTTGTCAGGAAAATGACTGCAATAGCTGCATTCTTCTATTGTCATTCAAAATACCCGAGATAAAAATTTAAGCTCCATAATTGGAGGCTTAAAAAGATGGTTGGAAATAAATTGCATCAGTTCCGTTTTCGGATAAAAACCTTTCCTAAAGCAATAATATATAGATATACAGAAAAAAAAGTGGAATTCGTGTATCAAAAATCACAAGGCAAATGTTTTCATTTAAATGGTATGGTTCGAGGCCCCAAAATAAAAAATAAAATCCCTCTCCTCTGGGAAAATAGCCATATGGCACGAATTTAATGCCATTTTTGTGTAGTGGTAGATCGATATTGAATGGGGGTCGATTAGAGGAAATTCTATAGTTGCCCCCCTCGGAAATATTTTGAAATGTAATTAAATACGCACAATAAATTTCGAATCGTATAATATGGAGATCGGTGGTTGCGCTATCGGCGGTAATGTACGACGTGAATAGAGACATATCCAAAATGGATATCACAACATTTCTCAGTTATTTATTATGATTAGGAAGGATAATGTTAATTTAGTTCCCGAGCCTGGTCTCATTAATCAATAATGGATCAGTAATTTTAATGTGAAATAATTGGGCGTCAAAGACCAAGAATTATTCGGGTTCAAGGCAAGGTTTATAAATATAAGTAAAAATGCTTCCTTGAATGTATATGGATGTATAATAATAATAATAATAATCATAATAATATTAGATAATAATTATAATACACACATAATACACTCTCCGCGACAAGTATCAGCAGCGATTGAGACAGATCAGGACACGAACCACAAACAATCGCTTCACTATCGATCGATAAAGAAAAGTCGACGACTTACTTATCGATTCGATCTATAAGCCCTACCACCATTAATCGTTTTGCAAACGTTCGTTTGTGGTGGCAATTTTGGCGACTAACGTTGAGCGATGGGTGGACGAGGTGAGAGGTGAGGGGAAATTGTCGAGAACTTATCGATAACGATTGTTTGTGGTTCTCCTCCTGGACTTCAGAGCTATCTGGAAAGAATAAAGTCGCTACTACAAACATGCTCGCCGTCCCACTACTCACTTACTCCTGTGAAGTGATAAAGTGGAATGTGAATGAGTTGCGTGAAATTGATGTGAAAACCCGCAAGATGATGACGCGATGCCGAAGTCATCATCCTAAGGCGTCTGTCCAACAGATCTACTTCTCACGTTATCGGGGAGGCCGTGGACTCTTAAGTCTGGAGTGTCTGCATAGACAGTTGATCCGAAATGCCACAGTATTCAGAAACTGCTGTACATGGTGCGTAACCATGAAACAGTTGGGATGGGGGCATTTCTTTTTAAGGCTGCACAAAGGGCAGCGGGTGAGCTCCAAATATTTTTCGACTTGAGTCGGCGGCAGGTAAGCGGCAGGAAAACTCTATTGCAGAGGTAGACTATTTAATACGTCTACATATGGATAAGTCATTGCACAATGTTTTCTTTAAAACAATTGAAAATACTGGCTTATCCAAAAAGCTAAGCTTTGCATTCTTGAGGTTGGGTGTATTAAAGTCGGAAACTGAGGGGTTTATCTGCTTACCAAGATGAATTCATCGACACTTTGGAACATCGGAGTCGCGTGATGGGTATACAGATTCATGATACAAGTTTTAGGGCCTGCCATAGAGCACCGGAGACCTTATATCATTTGCTGTCTGCTTGCGGACGGTATGCGGTCTCGGCGTATATCCATCGGCATAACGCGGCGTTACGGGTGCTGTATTACCACCTAAGGCACTCGTACGGTGTTGATGACACTCCAGTGCTGCCATATGTCCCCTCTGATGTTCCGTCCGTAGTGGAGAATGACAGAGCCAGAATATATTGGAATTTCGCATTCCCCACCTTCCGGCTGGTAAAAGCTAACAAGCCGGATATAGTACTTTTTGACAGAAATGACAAAATTATGGATGTCATTGAGTTCTCGGCTCCTGCTGAGACGAATATCATTGCCAAGGAGGAAGAGAAGCGGATGAAATATCAGGATCTTCTCTTTGACCTTCACCGAATGTACCGATGCTATACCGTCAAGCTAGTCGTTTTGGTGATTGGGGCTCTCGGAGGTGCACGACAAACACTGCTCTCAGCTCTCAAGACCTGGCATGATGCAGAAAGCAGTCATCCTGGGATCATTGCGTCTACTCAGAGCACATGATGCGGAACACCGTTTCTACTAACCTTGCGGTTGGAGTAGAACGGTGGACGGAACACCAGGCGGCCTACTTTCACCCGTAGTCGGAGGCGCGGGGCCGTAAGTAGGGCAAACCCAAAGAAAATAATAATAATACGTAGTGCACATAGGTCTCCTGTGGTGGACCCGTCGTGCCCCACTGAGTTCTACCAGAGGCCTATGTCCTTGGAAAAGCCAATCAGGCACCCTGGCTTTATTTTTTTGACGTCATCAGGCAAGCAACTTGCCCAGGTGTTTGAACCTCACGTGCGTGAGTGCTGGGCACTCACCAATGACGCGGTCATTACACATACTCACCTATTTCTTTGGTGTCGTAACGTAGTCACAAATAGAACTTGAAGCCCTGAACAGAAAGACATAGACCCTAATGACGCGCACAAGAAAACATAATTCAAGATCCAGCACACACCGTGTATATTTACCTAGGAAGATGGGAGGAAGAAGCCTGCTCGACTTAGTGAGTCTGTGCAAAACACAAATAAAGAAACTGCGTTTCTACTTTACAAGAACAGATAAACAAATACACAAAACAGTAGTCGATGCAGACCGACAACTGTCGCCACTTGATCCAAGAGAACCCCGTTACCTACCTTTCACAACAAATCACCTCAGTCAGAGAGCACGGGCATGGACGATTTTATGGAGAACTCCATCAGGAACATATAGACACACAAGCATCCGTTCAATGGCTAGTTAAAGGAGGCATTTATCCGGAAAGTGAAGGCTTTATGCTTTCCATGCAAGTGTGGTAATGACAGCTAACTACAAACGGTACAGTCTTCGAGAAAATATCATCGACAATTGTAGAAAATGTCGTACAGAACGGAAAAAAATCGAACACATACTATCGGCATGTCCAAGATATATAGTGTAGGTGCCCAGCGACATAAAGTTGCATTTATGAATACTGGCATGAAAAGTTTTGTGTGGCTAATTTGCGCCTAGTCTACCATCTTTTTCCTTTATGAAAACTTTCGTAGTGGGGGCTTTTCTTTTCTAGTTTTTCCGAAAGTTGACCATTTTGCGTGGTGCAAAAAATTTATAGATATCGTTTTTATTTTTAGTGAAATCGCGAGACAAATTCATGAAAAACGCGAAAAAAAATGTGTCCGACAAAAATGTTTGACTGTTAAGGGTGTCTTCCAACTCAAACATATCCAATTGACAAGTTTAAAAAAATTTTGCATAACGAGCTGATTTTTTCAGGATTACTTAATAAAAATATGTAGAATATAAATATCCAAGTGTCCGACATAGTAGATTTTCCGGTTTTCCAGTCCGACGCGAGAAAATTATCGGTTTCATGAAGTTAAAAAATTAATGAATAACTGTCGGACAAAAAAAGAATCATGTATGTAAGAGAAGTAGTCGACATGTAATATAGGTGTCCGACAAATATATCGCGACCAATTTGATGTCCGATAAAAAACATCAATAATTGTAAACACCATCACATCACAACACATCATTTTTCAAGTATTCATTAATAATTAATTATTGTGATAAAGATTTTTTTCTACTGACGTTTCATAATAGCAACTTTTCGATTGTCATTTCAGTTTTGAAACGACATTCTTTTAGGCACTGAGTGCGTGAAAGTTACTTTTAGGCACTCAGTGCGTAAAAGTGACTTTTGAATGCGTAAAAGTGACTTATGAGTGCGTAAAAGTAGTTTTTAAGCACTAGTGCCTAAAAGTGTCATTCATTATTCAGAAATAAAAAACACACTAAACACATATTTGAATTTTGTTTTGTATTTATTATGAATATTGAAAATGGAATTACTGAATTGAACGTTTGGGTTACTCAAAACAGAAGTTTGTGTTATTACCTACTTTTTATTTTAATTATTGATGTCGAATTTTGAAAAGAAAATCGCATGAAAAGTGTCAGGTGTCAAGTAAAAGCAGGTAACAAAGATTTTGGGTGTAATCGACTTATTCACATGAAATAAAATTGTGTTTTTTTATTATAAAATGCCAGTAGAAAAAATCTTGTATACAATACGTTACGAAACGATGTCTTTTAGTCACTCGACGTGTTGTCCAACTCGGCTTTGCCTCGTTGGACAATTTTCACGTCGCGTGCCTAAAAGACGCTCATTTCGTAACTTATTGTATAAATAGCTAATAAGCTACTATAAATGGATCGTGGAATGCGTAAATAGTTAATATGTATTAAGCTAAATAATATATATAATTTTTTTCAACAGTTTCAAAAATAAGAAAATATTAGGTAGGTATACAAAAATAGCTTTTTCACTCTTTATCCGAACTTTCATCGATATCAGAAGAATGTATCTCATCCTCGCTATTTATTTCATCTTCAGATTCTGAAAATAGGTTTATTCAAGATTTAATAAATGAAAAAAACGCAATTGTAAATATCATACCTGTATAATGCTTTCAGATTCAGATATATCTTGGAATGAAAGGGCTTTGAGGCCCATCAAACCAATAATGGTGGTACTTATTTGTTATTAATTATTACATACATGCATACAAACCGCATCCTGTTGTTGAGAACGAAACGCATAAAGTATACTGGGACAGATCGATACTGACAGACCGCTAGGTGATTCACAACAGACCTGATATTGTGATTATTAACAAAACAGACCAAACAGCTCTGCTTGTAGATTTAGCAATACCCAATAATCAAAACATTAGAACTAAAGAAATCGAGAAGACAACAAAATATGAACAGCTGACGATAGAAATTCTGAAAGTATGGCAACTGGAAAAAGTGGAAATAATCCCCATAATAGTATTCTCTATGGGATTAGTACCAAAGAGCCTGAAGATCAATCTAGGCAAGCTAAACCTACATGACAAAATATCAGCGGACATGCAAAAAGCAGTTGTCATAGATGCCGTAAGTAAAGTGAGATCTTTTCTTCGTTGATACACACATCTTTGTCTTGACGCAAGTCCAACATAGATGGATAAAATCCCAATAAGGAGAAATAGTTATTTATGTATCAAGGGAATTATGAGGGTGTTAATACCCCAGGGCAACGTTTGTGACACCAATTGCCCGTGGGTATTAACACATGATAATTCCCGTAGTACATAGATAATTTTATATCTCACTGAATTTACTGTATTCTGTCTATTTTTATAAAGGAATAAACCATAAACCAAAATTTTTATTTTTTCTCAAAGTTTTACCTATTCCCTTGAATAGGTAAAAGCGGGAGTTATGGAAAAATCCTTAATGGGATGGAGTTAAGACCCTGTTTATGACTATCGTAACCAAGGTATTAAATGGTTATAATAGTACAGTAGGATATAAAAAAAATAATATTATAGTTATTAATGATACAAGTTCGATATGAACGCCATAATGAAACGCGTGTAACGTTAAACCACGAGGCGTTAGCCGAGTGGTTTAGTTACACAAGTTTCATTAATAAAGTTCATATCGAACGTGTATCATTCAAAATTTAATCTACAATGGTCCAAATAGATTTGATTTGCCTTGAAATAGCGAAAACTTTTCAAATTAAAATTTGAAATTTAGCAGGTGCCCGTACTAGTCGAGAACCTGCTTGTAGGTTTTTAGAATTTTGACTTTGGCAGCTTCAATATTGGAGTCCATTTTTGTGCCATAAATTCAATTTTATAGTGGAAAATAATATTATTATTGGTGATTCTGAGTTCGAAAGTGTCTCTTCGAATATAGAGACAGCATTATTGAAAAGGTTCTTCTGGCAACTAACTTTCTTTTTGTATATTTTTCATTTCAAAATTTGGATGTTATTATGAATTCTTAAACGCACTAGTGCTATTATGAAGGACCTAATGACATTCAAATAACAATGCTAAATGTGTCATAATGACACCGACGTAGATTAATATATAAATAATATTAATAATATTAATAATATGTGGGAAAAGAAAGAAAATCCTAATAATAATAATAATAAGAATAATTCCTTCCCGGTTTACTGAGGGGCGAACAGTCCTACTTTCCAAGAATGGAGACTTGTCCGACCCCAAGAACTATCGCCCGATAACATGTTTAAACGCTTGATAGAAGATTTTTACGCGACTCTTGTACAGGATTATCTAACGAAAGTGCTCTTTACCTTATATACCTGTTAATTGAAGAGGTACAAATAAATGTTAAATATAAAAGTTGTTGGGATTTTTATGAGGAATTGGGAGCATTTATTAAAAAAAAAATGTAAAGGCGGGTTTAGAAAAAAGAGCAAAAAATTTAACATTTCTTGCTTAATTTAAATGAAATCATTTTTGAATATGTTTTTGAATTCTACATTAAATTTTAGCCCTGATATGTATTACATGTCCTATAATTAAATTCAGCAATTTTGGAGATAATATCGCTAATCAATGATTTTTCAATATAAATTACGAAAAAAATTATATTTCATCGTTGGAAGCTGGTAAGAGTGGTAGGTTCCCGTCTAGTCTTGCTTATTACTAATGTTTTTGTATATTATATCGAAAATGTGTCCAATATTAGATCAAATACGCTAAATTTTGCTTTAATCCAGCCTCACCTGGTTCACGTTTTACCAAGGTAAATTACGTAAAAGGTGAATCAGGTGAAGCTAAATTTAAGCAAAATTTCGCATACTTCATCTAATATTGGCCACATTTTCAATATAATGATCATAAACAATAGTAATAAGCAAGACTAGACGGGAACTTGCCACTCTTACCAGCTATGAAATATAATTTTTTTCATAATTTATATTGAAAAATCATTGATTAGCGATATCTCCAAAATTGCTGAATTTAATTATAGGACATGTAACATATATATTAGGGCTAAAATTTAATGTAGAATCCAAAAACATATTCAAAAATGGGTTATTTCATTTAAATTAAGCAAGAAATGTTAAATTTTTTGCTCTATTTTCTAAACCCGCCTTTACATTTTTTTAAAAATAAATGTTCCTGATTCCTCATAAAAATCCCAACAACTTTTATATTTAACATTTTTTTGTACGTCTTCAATTAACAGGTACATAACGTAAAGAGCACTTTCGTTGGATAACCCTGTACAAGCGGATACTCCAAGCCATGGGTCCAGTGTTTAGTGGAGTATACGAGCAGCGAGGGTCAAAGAAGGATGAAGCAGGATGCAAGGAGAACTTACTAATAGACCGATGCCAGTACAAACGAAACCTTTTGATGACCTGGATAGATTACCGCAAGGCCTTATTTGATACAACTTCTCATAAACTTATTATCCACCTTTTGAGAAGCCTTGCGGTACGAGATCCCGTAGCGAGATGCATTTCAGGACTCCTCCACTTTGAAAGACCCGATTTATAATAGGTAACGGTACCACAAAGGTATCTTATCTACCTATGAAATATAAAATATCTTAATTTTTTTTATCTAATTGTGTGCCTGCATTATGTGATTGGTGGTCCCACGTTTTTTTTTTTTGAGGTGAGTCAATTCAGAACTTTGGGCTAATAAATAGGTACTGCTGCTCTGGTTTTCGGAATCAATTGTTAGTGTGGGATTATTGGACCATTTGCTCTAAATAGAGTCGGTGCAAGAAGAGCGCTGGAAGGCTGAAATTTTAAAATAGAAATCCGGATAGGTCAAAAATTCATTCAAAAAAGTTTTTAATTAAAACATCTCAAGAATTTTGACAATTCCGGGATTTAATTAATTTCATCCTCAGCTTTATCTTGTAGTACCTATGGAAGTTACCTTAATTTAAATAAAAATTTGTCTATTTGGGAAAAATCTAGATTTTTTTTTTTTTAATTTTTTATCTGATTCAATTTCTCCTACATTTTTTTAAAATTTTGCCTGTTTATTGCTACTGCCAAAAAAGCAGCATGCTGCTCAGTTATAACGAGCATTTTAATTTAATCTTGCTGTATTTATCTATTTTACTATAATTTTATCGTTATTTTCAATTATTTAATTGTTTTTTTTTTATTAAAATATTTTTTCAATTTGCAATAGCTACTCATACTTACCTGATTCTGTTGGAATGGAGTGTCTGCGCAACAATAGTTTTATAATAAACTAATTTCAACTTAAATCCTCTTTGCAAGACACTCGTTTTTCAACAGAATTCAGGGATTTAATATTCCAAATTTTGGTGAACCTGATACTGCCTTATTCTTTTCTGGGTACCTACTCGACATAAAGATCACTGTTTGAAGTCTGGATCAGCTAGAGTGACGTCACACCAGCAATCCTCTTTCCTGGATACAGGAAACAACACGAAGAGCTCCAGTTCACAGAAGTGAAACCCTAACATCCATTGAAGAGCTCCGGATTAGAAAGGTACATATTATATCAGATTCACCAGAACACCTAAACTGTTAACTGTCAAATTTTGAAGAAAAGTAACATTGTTACTACATTATACAGAAATATAAAATAAAATTATTGTTTGTTGGATTTTGAGTGTTTTAATTTGCACTTGAAATGGGGTAACCAAAAGTAAGTAGAAATTATGTTGTGCTATTATTAAGCCCGTATTACATGTGTATTTTCCCATGAATTTCTTCATGTAGTTCAAGGTGACAACCGAAAAACTTCAAACGCAACATAAATCAGCATTATGAAAAGCAAAATAATGTTGGCACCCTGAACTACATGAAGAAATACACGGAAAAATACACAGATGTAATACGGGCTTCACACAGAAGAAACTACAGGTACAACCAATATGAATGTTATTTTTACACCTGGAGATGAAGGAACTCAATGACAAGGCCGCATAATAACTTTGTAGCTGCCTGCCCAAGTACTCTATTATTTAGTTTGATGGGCAAATGCTGAGCGGTCCTATTGATGCTAGGCATTTATTTCCTTTAGCTACAAATAAAAATTAGGAGGGTGTCTATTCCAAATAAAATAAACAACTGCAGTAAAGATTGCATACATAAACTTTTATTACTTTAAATTTAGCAGAGCCCTTTTTAAAATAAATGAAAAATGTTTCAGAGGAAATAAATCAAATTTTAATTCCTCTAATTAAACTTTATTCATCAACAAAACCTGACTTTACAACTGTTATTTAGTTTAGTTACAACTGGTTGGTTAAAGTCTTCCATCTAAAACGTGTACACAATTTAAAACCTTTCAATAGATATTTCTAATGAAAACCCAAAATATTCAGCGGTCCACTCCATTTCAAATCCCTTCAAAAATTCATATCAATAATGTTGTCAATAGGCTCGTTCAATGAAATTTCATTAGCACGGTTTTTCACATTTTTATGGAGCATTACTCACATATAGCACGTAGAAAAAATTTCAGCTTAATTAGATAAATATTAAAAAAGTTACGCGTTTTTTAATATTAAAATAGTTATGCCTCGGAAATTTATTGCTGTGACGTCATAGCATCTCTCGAGTCGAGACAAGCTAAAGTCCGTCATACACGGCTTCGCATAACGCAATGTCAACTGATTTTCTATACTGACAGTTTGGCACACAGTTTGCAAAACTATGCAATATTTATAATTTTTCCTACAGCCGTGCGGAAAAATCAATTTTCCGCACTGATATGCGTGCGGAAAATGAGTTTTCCCGCACGGTGCGGTAAAACTTTTACCGCATGCATATCAGTGCGGAAAAAGTTTTTCCGCACGGCTGTCCGTGCGGAAAAAAATTTACCGCACGGCTGTCAAAAGAAAAAAGAAAAATTCTACATTATCACGCCTGTAGGAAAAATATTGTACCTAACACTTGCGGAAAATATTTTTCGCACTTGTTAGATAAATAGCTATTTCCGCACTTGTTAGGTAAATAATTATTTCGTTTTGCATGCTACTTCCATAATTGTGCTCACAAGATATTGAAACTCAGGGAATTATTTAAATATACGAAATGTGATTCGAAAGAAAAACATCCAGTTCTATCAGATACATAAAAT